GAGATGGGCAGTATCTAAATTTGAAATATAAATAAATAAATAAATAGATAGATAGATAGATAGATAAATAAATAAATAAATAAATAAATAAATCTCTTGAATCCAGTGCTTAATATCAGGAAAACTATTTTCATATTTCTCAAAATAATTCTCTTAACAGCACTCCAGGCCTGATGCAAACAAAACTCGTCAAAAATAGTCAAATTCCAAAGTTTTGGAACATAGTTTAGCATAGCATTAACATCTTTAACATTAAAAGATTTCCCCATAAATCTATTACATATGTTAAAATATGATTGATTGATAAAACTTTTTTGAATTATTTATTTATTTATTTCAATGTATTATAGCCACTCAAGGCCTATGGACTCTGGGCAGCAAACAAAATTTTAAAAAAACACACAATAAAAACAACCATTGAACACAATAAACAATGAATGACCATGAGCAGTACTCCCTGGTCTAGGAAAGGGATGCACAAGATGGATTTGTGCAAAGGCCTCCCGGCCCTGGCCCCCACCTGCTCCTTGAGCAAGAGCCAAGAGTCCAGGAGAACCCCCAGACTGCATTCCCGCTCTGACTGATCACCCCAGTCAAAGATGGAAAATCACTAGATACGGGACACCTTAAAACCCACCACCACTTAGTTTTCTCAGAGTTGAGCCGAAGCTAATTCTTCCCCATCAGGCCCTACATCCTCTGGGCGCTGGGAAGGCACCTCGATGGCATCACATCAGTGGCCCTGGGCAGATATGTACAGCTGAGTATCATCAGCATATTGATGGTACTTAACCCTAACCCGACAGATGACATCATCCAACAGATTCATGTAGTTATTAAACAGGAGCTGGGAGAGGATGGAGCCTTATAGCACCCCACAAAGCAGAAGCCTAGGGCTGGACCTCTCCCCCACCCCCCATATAACACAGACTGGAACTGGCCTCGGAGGAAGGAAGAGAACCATTGAAAAACAGTGCCTCCCATTCCCAACCATGATTGATGGTATTAAAGCTGTTGAGAGATCAAGAAGGGTCAGGATGGATACACCACCCACATCCTGGGCCTGCCAGAGGTCATCCATGTTCAATCACTGCTGTCTCGGTGCTATATCTCGGCCTGAAACCCAACTGTAACAGGTCCAGATAATCCACTTCCTCCAGAGACCTTTGAAACTGTAGGCTAAGCACTTTCTCAATAACCTTCCCCAAGAAGGGAAGTTTGGAGACTGGACAAAAATTGTCCAGCACTGCTGGGTCCAGTGATGACCTCTTGAGGAGGGGATGGACCACCACCTCCTTCAAGGCAGGCAGAACCACCTTCTCCCACAAAGAAGAATTTACCACTGTCTGGACCCAGCTACATGTCACCTCTGGGGAGGTCTTGACCAGCTAGGAGGAACAGGGATCTAACATGGAGGCAGCAGAACTCAACAATCCAAGGACTCTGTCCACTTCCTTGGCACTAACTAGACTGAATTGAACCCAGATTACCAGGCAAGACTCAGACAGACCATAAAAACATACAAATAGACCATAAAAAACAACTTTAAAAAACATACAAACAGTACAAAAATGAATATTATTATGAAAACACTAAGAGAGAGCATCAGACTATGCACAATGGAGTCACTCATCAGATTACCGTTCCCTTGCAACCCCCAGGCCTGTTGACACAACCAGGTTATAAGGGACTTCCAGAAGGTTGGGAGAGATGGGGCCAATCTCACTTCAGGGGAGAATGATGCTCCCCAGGGCGGATGCCACAGCAGAAAAGGCTTATCTCCTGGATCCCATCAAATGTAACTCCTTAGAAGAGGGGACCTGCAGCATACGTCTTCTGCTGGACCTGATGGGACAGGCAGATGTGATTGGGAAGAGGCGACCCTTCAAATAACCTGGCCCCATGCCATGAAGGACTTTAAAGGTCAGAACCAGCATCTTGAATTGGACCCAGAAGCAAACTGGCAGCCAATGCAGCTTGCAAGGCAAAGGTGTAACATGTACTGCCCTAGGGGCACATATAACTGCCCACACCACCACATTCTGTACCAGCTGAAGCTTCCAGGTACTCTTCAAGGGCAGCCCCATGTACAGCACATTACAGTAGTCCAGTGGGGAGGTGACCAGGGCATGACTGACCATGAGCAGAGCCTCCCGATCCAGGAACGGGTGCAACTGGCGGACAACATGAAGCTGTGCAAAGGCCCTCCTAGCTACGATTGCCACCTGCTCTTTGAACAGGACTCATGAGTCTAGGAGGACCTCCAAGTTGCACACTGGACCTGTTTGGGGTAGTGCAACCCCAACCAGCAGCAAAGATGACATAGTCCCAGAATCAGCAGGCCCCAAAACCCAGAACCACTCAGTCTTGACAAGGTTCAGCTGACAGCTCACAGCCTCCAGGCACCAAGATGACATTCACAGCATTATTTAATTCACCAGGGGCAGAGGTGTATAATCATCAGTATGCTGATGATACCTCAGCACCCATGGCAATGGATGAGCTCACCCAGCAGCTTTGTGTAGATGTTAGAGGAATGGAGAGAGCACCGAACCTGTGGCACCTCACATGATAGGGGCCGAGGGGGAGAATCACCCCCACTGGTATCAACCCTAGAGAAAGGAGGAGAACCAGCACAACACAGTGCCGCCCACCCCCAATCCCCAGAGCCGATCCAGAAGGATACCATGGTCGATGGTATTGAAGGCCACTGAGAGGTTAAGCAGAGTTAGGAGGGATGCACAGCCTCCTGACTGAAAGGGCTCCAGATAATCTGCTTCATCCAGGGCCCTCTGAAGCTGCTGTGCGGCCACCTTCCCTAAAAAGGGGGAGCTTTGACACTAGATGGAAATTGTCCAGCATGGTGGGGTCCAGCGATGGCTTCTTCCTGAGGAGGGAGTGATGAGGAGCATCTTTTATTCCAAAAAAATGTCCATAATTCACAAAGCCGAATCATATGAGTCAAAGATCTTTCACATTTTTTACATTACCAACAAAGGAAATTTGTCATCCATCCTTTCAGATTCATTCTTTGGACATCCAGTAGACTTGAAATAAAATATGTTGATTATCTTAAATCCATTGAAACAAGGATGATGTTTTTTATGACCTGCAACCATCAATGTTCTGTTATTGGGTGTTCCAGTTCTTTAAACCGTGTCATTAATATCAACTTTAAAAATATAATTATACAAATACAATGTGGGTTTGGTTTCAGATATCAGCTTTATAAAAAAATGAAAGCCCCTCAGGTTTCTAGAAGTAGACAGAAGATCCAATCCGTATTGAGTCATTAAAACAATTTAAGCTGATTAAATTGCCGCTGTTCTGAATTAGGGAGGCAAAAGTGTATTTGAAGTGAGAAAAACTGTTAAAATAATCAACACAAAGAAATTGAAATTGATTTATCTCACAATTTAATGCAAAAACCTCTTAAATAACTGCAGTGTATAGTCAGTCTTAGCTACTGATTTTAACAAACTGATTTGCCCTTGACTTCAAGAGTACATATATTTCCATCCCAATTTATAGCCATATTTTTCTTTTTCTTCCTGCTCTTTCATTCAATAAAAGAACTATGTGTGGTATAGCTACAGCTATAAAGAAAATTAGAAACAGGGTTAGCCAGGGACCCCAAAGGCAGGAGCAGTTTTCCAGGCTCAAGTGAAGTGAAGAACCAGTGATACAAAACCAGTCCTGGGACCAACCTTTAGTACTAAAGCACATTAGCACCCCAAATACAGGTAGCCCTTGCTTAGCAACCACAACTGGGACTGGCAACTCCATCACTAAGACCACATACATGATGATGGACTTACAACATCACTTCCCATTCAGTCATTGAGACATCATGTGGCCATGTCTTGCGATTTTACTGCCAACTTTTCCATTGACTCTGCTTGTCAGAAGCCAGTTGTGAAGCGCCTGAATATCGATCATGAGACTGCGGGGATGCTGCGATGGTTGTAAGTGTGAGGACCAGTTGTAAAGTTACTTTTTCAGTGCCATCATAATTTCAAACAGTTGCTAAACAGAGCAGTCGTTAAGCGAAGACTACCTGTACGTCAAGGATGACCCCTTCTATCTTCAGCAGAAAACCACTCAGTGCCCAAGTAAATCAGAAAATTCCTACTGAAAACTCCTTTGAGTCCTAATTAACCTAAAGTAAGGTGACTTTAAGGTCAGGGTCAACCTAACACAGTAGACCAGACTAAGAAAACAGTGCCATTAGATCAGGACTACTTTTTTTGGAACAGCTACAGTAACAGAAACTTGCAAGTCTAAATGTACTTCCCACTCCCTCCTCTCTATCATTGGGTGAACTAGGGAGGGGCCTGTCAGAGATGTTAGCTTTTTGGCCCAGGCTCAAGCCCCTCTTATCTTGGTAGCAGCTCTTCCTCCTGTCCCTCAACGCCATTTGCTCTTCCCCCTGCAATCAGCAAGAATAAAAGGGAGTTGCTCCATGGGAGCCTCCTTCCCTGAGGGTCACATCTCCTGATTTCTCTCCGTCAGGCAATGAACGTCATCTATGAGACCTTCCGTATCCCAGGATATCGGGCAGCCTTGGCAGAGATGCATCTTCAGCTCTTCATCCCTCTACTGAAGCAGGTCCTTTATGTGATGCAGCTGAACTTGCCGGAGGCCTTAAAAACCAGGCAGGAGATCATCCTGAGGGAAAATCCCACGGCACTCAGCTTCCAGAGGTACCAAAACTGCACACAAGGTGGTCGTGCCCTCTCAGCACCAGATGACCCCTAACTCGGCCCCCCACACAGTGCAGGATCTGCAAGGGGAGGTGGGGCTGCCCCTGCCACCCCACTTGACCCCTCCACCTCAGGACAGCACACCAACTCCCTGCACCCCCCCAGCAGCTTCCCTGCTGGGCCTAGTCCAAGGTTCCCCAACGTAGTCAACATCAACCCCCATAGTTTGATGGGATTATCCAAGGGGTTGATAAGTGGTTGGGGGTCAAAAGGGGGTCAGTAAATGTCTGGGGGTCAATAGGTAGTCCATAAAAGATGGAAGGTCGATTAGAGTCGATTAATATTTTGGGGTCTCTGTAGAGCTCCATGCCAGTCCCTAGTCCTGAAGGTGAGATGGCTAGCAGAAAGACAGTGTTACCCAGGGTTGGATGGTCAGCCGCCAGTGAGAGCAGCCTTGAGTTGTCATTATGATGATGATCCATAGTGCTATTGGTTAAAGTAGTATTTATGAAATTATTTTCATATAATAAATGTTTGGGGGTCTGAAACAGCAAAAAGAGGTCGATGAGCTGAAGAATTTAGGGACCCCTGGTCAAGTCTCTGTCCCCAGGAGAACCCCACAGCATCATCTGCTGGGCAAAAGAAGGCAGCTGCCCTATTTCCCTTTCCCTTCCTCCCCCTGCACTCCTGCAGCCAGACCCCTCGCAGCCACTGGGCCCCCCCTTCTGTATCCTTCAACTGCCTGGCCAGAAGGGGACAAGGTATTCCAAATGTACAATCATCAGCTTAGAAGGACCCGGGATTCTCCTACAGCTTGGAACCAGATGCCCTGCTGCTCTTTGGCCTGATGCTGCATTTTGTAATGAATTGATTTAATTGATTTACCAGTTTCATCCTGTTGAACCTGAGGAAGTGAACAGGGTCGTCCAGATGGTCAATGCCACCACTTGTCAACTAGACCCATGTCCCTCCTAGCTGGTCAAGGCTGCTCAGGACATGACATGTGGGTGGGTCCAGGAGCTGGTGAATTCATCCTTGAGGGAGGGAGGGTTCCCAGCTGCCTTTAGAGAGGTGCTGGCACATCCTCTCCTCAAGAAGCCAACCCTGGATCCTACCAAATT